TTCGTCATGAACTTCACAGGTGATGTGTTGACATTCATAACTTCTTTGTTTTCAGATCTTGGTACAAACTTGCTCCATTTTCTGACTTCTTGCTTGTCGTTCCCTTTGCGAGGTTCATAGATGGGCAGCCTTTCATTTCCAGCGGAGGCCATGCTCAATTCCATGTCATGGGCACGAGTTGCAAGTTCTTCAAATGTGCTAGGCTTAATACCTTGCAAGATGTAGCGCAATCCCCAATGCATGCCTTGGATGCACATCTCTATGCCAGAAGCTTCACTAAGCCTGTCTTTACAGTTGAGGCTTGAGTTCCTCCAACGATTGATAAAGTCGATAACTGGTTCACCCTTCCGTTGACGAGTATTTATGAGTTTCACCATGCTCATAGTGCGCCTTGTGCTATAAAAGCGATTGAGGAACTCTTGCTCTAGTTGATCCCAGCTATCAATAGATCCCGCCTCGAGGTTTGTATACCAATCAAAAGCATTTTCTTTTAGCGAGCGGACAAACCGTCTGACAAGGTAATCTCCATAAGTCCCAGCGTTATTGCATGTCTCAATGAAGTGCGCCACATGTTGTTTTGGATTACCTTTACCATCAAACTGTTAAAACTTTGGAGGTTGATAACCAGCAGGCATCTTCAACATATCGATCCTTGTAGTGTACGGCTTTGCGTATGTAAGGGAGGACTTGGCAGCAACTTCATATTTATTCTTAATAGTTCCTTTAATGAACTCTTTCAGTTGATCGATGGGAATCATCCCTTCAGATGAGACATGGATAGACTTAGCGGATGCTACTCGTATCGGGGGAGAATCAATCTCTGGAACTTCTGGGAGCTTGCCAGGTGCATGGGTGGATTCTTCTTCCATCAAGATTCTCACCTTGTCTGTTAGCTTGTCAATTCTAGCATCTTGATTTTGCATGCACTTGGTCAAGCCAGTGATTATTTCTGTCAAGTTCGCCAACTGCTCTTCCACATATGAAGTGTTTGTCACCATAGCTTGCATGATTGTTGTAGATGATGGGGAGTAGCATGGATTGTCACACAGATTGATTCTCGAATGGCTCACGCTATGCGATGTAAGTGGGGAGGATCCATCACTTGAAGCATCATCATCTTCCTTCACAACCTAGTTCTTAGATCCGGGGAGGTCAAGCAGAGCAAGAGTTTTCTTGATCTTTTCAGCAACATCGCTTTCTCCTTCGGGTACGTTTGTGGAAGATCTTGCTCCTTTTGAGGATGAAGATCCGAAAACAGGGGTTTATACGGACGTCACTTGGGGTGCTTGTTGTCCTAACGAGCTTGCTTTGCTCCTCGTAACTGGTCCAAAGCTTCCAAAGGTAACATCGAGGATGCTTTCCACATCAGCATAGAACCTGGAATTAGCAGCCTTGGTGAAAGTTGAACTGGAGATGATTTTCTTTGAAGCCATTTCAATGTTCTTGAACTTTGGTGATTTGAAAAGTTGAGATGAGAGGTAGAGATTGTCCCACTGGCGTGCCCGAATTTGTAGACAATAAATTGGGTCGAGAAAATAAAATCAGGCTAAAAAATATTACAACAATCGTAGTATTTTATTTTAAATATTTGAGTGTACAATCTCTATGAATCCTCTGATTCTTCTTTTCAATAATAAATAAATTCAAGGGCCTTTGAGCTTGATCTCGAATATGTAGTTGTCACCACGAATGATGATCTTGTTCTTGAGCTTTAGCTTGGTTGCTTGAACTTTACCTTGATTTGTTCTTCGTTCTTGAGCTTGAACTTGATTTGTTCTTCGTTCTTGAACTTGAACTTGATTTCTTGAACTTGATTGCTTGGAGCTTGAAACTTATGGAGGAATTTGCAGTGTTTGATCCACGAGCTCTCTCTTGCTTCTTGTTATAGCTTTTGGTATCTTTTCTGAGTTATGAAGACCCCTATTTATAGTTGTGGGAGGGAAAAAGTTATGATCAGAATAAACTCTTTCTGACCAATCAAATTGAAGCATGACAAAGCCGCATTTGATTGGCCAGAACATGTCATTTTGACACGTGGCATGACCCCCATTGGCTCTTTTCTCTGACTTGGCGTGCCATGTCATTTGACACGTGACACCAAACTGGGCCTCTAGGAAGATGGCATATTGGGCCTAATGAAGTGGGCTCATCATTTGTAGCCCAACTAAATGGACTAGCCCAATGGATTAAGACTTATTTATTTAATACATATATATTGGGCTTATAACTAATCCAATTATATTAGTCCAATAAATTTATTTGAACTAATATATCTTAATTTTAAAATATAGTCCCAATTATTTTACGGATTTAATTCCAATAAAATTTATATGCCTACAAATGCATCTCCTCAATTAATGACAAGAAATTAATGACACCATCTCCCGGTCTCCCAAATTCCCTAAGGAAAAACTCTCGATCTTCCCCTTGACCCCAAATCCCCTCTAAAATCGATCCTTTCGGGAAGAGACCCTCACCCATCAAAAAGGATAGAAATACAGAGGCTCATTCTCACCTCTCTGATTCTCACGCAATAGAAAGGAAACATGCCCTTACTCTCACCCACCTACAAGTGACAAACGGGCGGACCAGGCCGGTCAAGAAAAAAAGTGACCGTCCGGTCACCAATCCGGGCAAGGTTCCGGGTTTTACGAATCGAGCTTAACGGGTTCGGCCCCATCTGGTCAAAAATTGAATTGGAATGGTTCCAGGCTTAAGGGGCCGGGTTGGTGTAATTTTTTATTTTTTTATATTTTGTATTTTGTATAACTAAAGTAAAAATATAAAACAAAAAAAAAATCTTATAAAAAGAGTATTTGAATAAAGATGCAAAGACTTTAAAATTCTTATATTTGAATATTTCATTAAGAATTTAAGATAATATAATACAACGAAGATGGAAAAAAATGCACTTATAATTTGCAAGTTCAAATTTGCAAATTAATGTTTACATTTAACAACAACTAAATTAATAAAAAAAAAGTAAATTCAAAGTTTAATTATTAAATATAAATCTAGAACTTCAAATGTTTTGCATTGCCTTAGTAAGTTCTTCATAATCAATATGACCTTCTTGGCCATCTACTGGAGTGTTAAATTCAAAGGCTTTCATAGTTTCATTTCAAATTTTCATTGCATAATACTACTTCAAATTAATCTAACAAACTAAAACATTAAGCATAATACGTCTAATAATTTTAAAATAACACAAATTATCTCAAATCAATTTAAAATCTTAAATACGAATTTCTGGAGGACGCTTAAGACAACTCTTCATATGCCTCCTTAAACAGCCTGTGCCCTTCCACTTTCGACGAAGATTTAAGACTCGACTACAGTTCTTGTACTTTACTTTGTGAACTTCTTTATTTTCTTCTACCACCTCGAAGTGTTCCCAAACATATGAGCGCACTATAGAATCACGGGGCATGATTTAACTTGAATTGAGAATTTGAGTTTGAGAAATGAGAGATGAGTGAAGAAATGAAGAGGATGGGGAGTGTATTTTTAGTTTTTCAAAAGACTAAATTAGTAATTACAAAATGTGTTATTTTTAAAAATAATTGCCCAAAAAGGGGCTATTCTTGCAAAATATCTGTTGGGCAACGGTCAAATTGGAAGCTGACCGTTACCAACGGTCAAATGAATTTTAGAAAAAAAAAACCCAGAAAATTACTGTTGAACCGGGTTGGGCCAGTCCGGTCCGGTTAACCGGTTCAACAGTGATTTTTCTTGACCGGGTTTGACTGGTCCGGTTAATCGATTTTTTTTATACGGACCAACCCCCTGACCCCCTAACCCAGCCCACCCGGCCCCTGACTATCAGTCCAGGTCGGGTTACTACTGGTCTGGGCAGGTTCGAAAATGGGTCAACCCGGCCCGTTAAACAGGTTTACACCCACCAATACATGCATTCTCACACATCTTTCAGAAACACACACGAAATGGTTGATTTTTGAATTGAGATCTGAAATCTAATTCTATTTCTTGGGTTTTTCAAAATAGTTGTGGAAGCCAACCCGATAACTGCTTTTCTCCATTTGAGTATTTGAGTTCCATCCTAGAGTTTTGACCCAAAATTCATACCAAACACACCCAAAATCTAAAAACTTTTAAACGGTGGCTAAAGGCTTATAGTAGGGGTAAAGAATGGCTAATTACCAATATTTCACATTATGAGGGTGTTTGGCTAAGCTTATAAGCTGGTTAGCTTATAAGAACTTTTTGACTTATTTACGCGTTTGGTAAAGTTAAAAATACTTATAAGCCAAGTGCTTATAAGCCAAAACGCCATAAGTTGGGTGACTAGTTTATGAATTTTTAGTTTATAAGCAATTTAAGTTTGACCAATTTTTTTTTTTATTTTATCCCTAAAATATTCATTTTTAAAACAAAACTCTTACATCGATATTCACTGCTCATATTTCTTAAAACCTAAATCCTCCACCTCTTCAAGTCTACAATTTAATATTTGAGGTAAGCAAATTCTCTTTTCCTTTGCATATTTTGTATCAATGTAATTGTGTATTAATCTTTGAACTGTAAGTAATAAACGAGGACATATCAAATTTTTGGTGTATTACTTTTTAAGTGTTATATTAATCTTAATAGACACTGGTGATGAAGACAAGAGATAAAGTATTATTATTATATAGCTTATGATTATATGCTTATCATAAAATAAATTATATTTATCATAAAGTTATCTTATCTAATCACATTTATATTTAAAATAAAATAAAAAATAGATTATTTTTTATTTGAATCGATCTAGAATCTAAAATCTTGAAAAAATTACGCTCTATAAGTGTAAATAGTTTTAAGTTTATTTAAGTCATTTTAATAGAAAAAAGCTTATCAATATTTTTTTTAATTAAATACTGCAGCAACTTATTATCAATTTCAACATTTGACTCCAAACAATAAATAAATGATTTACCATTTAAAAAGTACTTTTCAGGAGTTATCGGCTACTTTAAATAAGCTAATGCAAACGGGCGGGTCCGCTCCCTGGTTCAGATGCCCAAACTGGTACCCGCCCGCTTACCGTAAAGGGCTCCCTAGTTACTCTCATCGCTTCACTCCGCAATCCATCCAAACCGGCGTCTTTTACCGGTTGCACGACGGCGTTCGCAGCCGGCGACTCTCTCCGCCGTCTTCAGCTCTTCCATTCCAAATTAACTGGGAAATGCAGCCCGTAAGTCCTCAAGTATTTCTAAAAGTCATTCAATACTCATTTTTCCCCATTTGTCCTCATTATTTACCTTTTTTCAGCTATTAATTGTCTCGGAGGAATCTCAATTTCTTCTTCGAATACTGAACGGGAGTTTTCAAACGCTAGACTTCATCAAAGACCGCGTTTTTCACGGTTTTGCCGATTTATTCTGCTCGAAAGCGGATTTGGATGTTATCGACATTAGGTATGAGTATTCCATTGCACACTTATGCATTTTATCAACTCATTTTCGTTTCCAAAAAATTGATAAATTTTGTAAATTTTATGTGTAGACAAGATAATGTAGTGCAATGTGTGAATCGGGAGGAGCAAGGATCCAAAGATTCGTTGTCTAAGGGGAACGATTCGGATCAGCAAGAGGATTCAAGAGTGGGATTCAACGTGTTGGATGCGATGTTAAAGCATAGTCTGGATCGTCTGAAGAGTATGAGGTTTGTTCGAAACTTTGTCAGGAAGTTTTTTATTTTTTATTTAATTGTTGAATTAATAAGCTTGTTTTATAACTTTTTATTTAGAGACAGAAAAGAGTATTACCTTTTTAGTGCCAATAAGGGCACAAATATCTTTTGTAGTGTTTTGATAATTGATGATTTCGAGTGGCATATGATTGGTTCTGTAATTGATTGTATCAATCCCGTGGCTGTACACTGTTTCTTATTGAAGCTGAGCCTGGTTGGCTTCTTTTTCTTGTCCCTAATATTTGTAAAGCAAATTACGTTAATTTTGCAGGGAAAGAATATCCTCAGCTGAAGCAGGCATTCATAACTGCACCTTGGAAATAAATTTCAATAAAGATGCATATGTTATTAGAGCTATGTGTCTGGATGGTAAAATGGGGGCAGCTTTATCTCTTTGGTTCAACATGATACAGAATAGTATTGTTCCTGATGTTATCACACACAATTACCTCATCAATGGACTGTGCAAAAACTGTGAATTGGAGAAGGCAGAGTGGATTGTTAGAGGTATGTTATATAGGGGCCCTTCTCCCACTTGTGCTACGTACAACTCCTTAATAAGGGGTTATTGCCTCATGAATGACGTCGATAAAGCTCTAAACACGTTTTCTACCATGGCCAACCATGGGATTTTACCAAACAGAGTTACTTGTAACATCCTTGTTCATGCGCTTTGTAAGAAGGGTTTGTTGGAGGAGGCGAAAAAGCTTTTTCATAAATTACTAAGCAAAAATCATAACGGGGGGAGCTCAGATTTGATTACATCAACCATAATGATGGATGGTTGCTTTAAAAATGGAGATACTGATCAAGCTCTTGCTTTTTGGGAGAGGATGTTAAAAGAGGGTGTCCAAGTTGATAAAGTTTCTTACAATGTTGTTGTCCATGGATTCTGTTTGAGCCATGACGTGGGCATTGCATATAAGTATTGTTGTGAAATGCTAAAGCTTGGGTTCGTTCCAGATGTCTATTCTTACAACACTCTTGTTGGAGCACTTTGTAAAAAAGGAAAGACCAGTGATGCTTGTTATATCTACGATGTTATGACAAGAATGGGTGTCATCCCAGATCAAATTACATACAAAATGATAATTCAGGGCCTATGTATTAACAGGGAAATTGATAGAGCCAATTGTTTTCTTGATTACATGTTAGAGAATTCCATTATACCTGAACCACTTGTTTGGAATGTTATAATCGATGGTTACGGAAAATTTGGAGATATACAAAAGGCTTCATACATTAGAGACAAAATGGTAGCATTTGGTGTTCTACCAAACATATATACATATAATGCATTAATTTATGCACAGATAAAGTCAGGAAATATTTTAGCAGCTCAGCCCTTGGAGAAGGAGATGCTTTTATATGGTCTTACCCCTGATTTAGTTACTTACAATCTGTTGATTGGTGCTGCTTGCAGTCTTGGCCTGATTCACTCAGCACTTCAGCTACATGACGAAATGTTGAGAAAAGGTTGTCAGCCAGATGTAATTACCTACAGCGAACTACTTAAGGTGTTTTGTCTACAAGGTATGATGAAAGAAGCGGACAAGCTCTTTGGGAAGTTACTGGCATCTGGTTTAGCTGTTGATCATGTTCCCTTTCTAATACTCATGAAAAGATACTGCAGACTGAGAGAATTTGATAAAGTCTTTGACCTTTACCAAAAGTGGTTAGTGACTATGCGTAGATGAGAATATCTCCCCAACGGGTATTGTGAAGTTAAGGGCTACTCTATATGTATTTATACAAGAAGAGAAAGCTACTTCAGACTTTTGCACCTGGTTGGCTGGCAGATTTTAGGTCCAGAAGCATTGTCCTCGTAGCAGGAGTCGTCTTTGTCACCGGAGGTACGTTCGTGCTGTCACCTTTGCCTTTTGTAATGCGATGTGATCTTGGTATAGTTACCTCCTCTGTCCCTCTTTCTGGCTTGTTTGATTGGGCAGTAAAGATTAAGCTAGTATGGTTTATAATATTTTATGTGATTACCTTCCCATAAAACATATTCTCGGTCATCTCAATCTAATGTCCTACTGTAAGAAGTGTGTCCAAAGCTGGGAAGAAAATTAATTTCCCCATGATTCTATACTATATTAAAACAAGAAAATTAACTTCCGAAGAATCTATACTATATTAAAAGCTTGAATCCCCTTATCAAAATGTCGTTTGTATTTTTTATCCTTTAAAAATATATTTCACATTGGATAGAGTTGTAATTAATTTATATTTCTAATATTTAGGACTTTAAGATCAACTAAAATTTTGATTATTAAATCTTTCCTTATTGAACTAGGTTAGAGGTCCTAATATTTTGGGATTATTAATCTCACCCCAATTTAAGCTATCCAAACGTATATATATGTTAACATTGTGTTTCAAGGTAGTCTCTTTTTGATTTTGGTCGAACTAATTTAACCGAAAAGGTCTTCAAATCAACTAATTAGTTAAAATCCAATTTGATTCTTTTCCAATTCATCATATAAATGACTTTCTTATATGAACAATGTAGTATAATTGCAATTCCTTACATGTTACAGTTACATATTTAAAACTTGGGATGGCTTAATAATAAAAATTTGAATCAATAAAAAATAAGTTAGTTCCAGTAATATTGAGAATAAATAATTAAAATTTTGAATTAATTGATTAATTAGAAAAAGAGCCCAATTTAATTATTTTCCAGATTCATCATATAAGTAGAATCTATTTTTCAAGCTGACAAATCTCTTAGGATACCTAAATTTATTTCCATTAGAATAATATTGGTGGTGAAAGAAATAAGAAAAAAGAGCAAGAAATATAATAAGGATGAAACAATAGAAGACAAAATCTTCTCAAAAAAAAAAAAAAA